CCGCAGCAGCTCGGGGGGCCGCACCATGCGCCGCGTCTCTGGCAGCCCCTCGGTGGCCGGCTCAGTCTGCATGGCCCGCTCAGCACGCTCCCGCGCCCAGCCCCGCCGTGGCCCATCCTCCGTGGAGATGGCTACGTCCACGGTGCGGGTGGGGGTCCCGGGGGTGGCTGTCCCCAGACCATTCACCACCGCTGGCGCTGGCCCCGAGGAGTAGGAGGAGATGGAGGAGCTGGTCTCAGAGGTCTGAGACAGCTGCTGCAGCTGCCCATTGGTCACTGCAAAGGCACAGTGGGGACAAGGGGTTACAGGCTGCGGGACCACAGGGAGGTAGGAGACAGGACACCGGGCATGTGGGGACCCATGCAGTCATGGGGACTGGAGGGCCTGCTGGCCATTGCATAGGGATCTTCATGTCCCCTGCAAGGATGGGGACACATGGGACTCTCCAGGATCACAGGGACCACTGGGCTGCTGGCCATGGCACAGGTCCTTCATGTCCCAAAGAAGAATGTGGGACAGGTGGGACCTTGCAAGGCCATGGGGACTGTGAGGATGTTGCCTGTGGCACAAGGAGCTTCATATCCCTCCAAGGTCATGGGATCCCATGGCACATGGACCTTCTCCCTCCCCACCAGGGCTGGATGCCCCTTTCACAGGGGGTCCCACCCCTCTCCATGCCCCAGTCCAGCGTCCCCATGGGTACCCGCGCAGCACTGTCCTTACAGCGAGTGAGCCAGCAGTACTCGGCCACCAACTCCTTGTAGGCAGGGAATCGGCCAGTCTCCTAGGCACAGGGGGAGAGGACATGGGGGTCAGCATACGCCAGCTGCTCTGGGTGAACCTGATCTGGTACCAGCCATGAATAATGCATATCCCCACCCACATCTGCCTGAAACCCAACCAGCTGGGGCTGCACCAGCCCCATGGGCGCTGGGCCAAGCTGGGGCAGCGCCAGCGTGGGGACGCACCCACCCACCGCCTCATCCAGGGGTCCCGTGGAACTGGGCACTGGTACCTTGATGGTCAGCATGATGTGGGTCTGCCCCTTGAGCACCTCCACTGCCTTGCTATGGCTTATGTCTTCGAACTTGACTCCGTTGGCTGCAAGGACTTGGTCTCCCACCCGAATGCCATTCTGCTCTGCCAGCCCCCCGGGGTCCACCCTAGGGCAGCAGGGGGCAGGTAGGATGGGGTTGAGCCCTCAGTGGAGCCCTGCTCCTGCCCCACAGCTCTACCCAGGTGGCCCCGTGCCCCAGCACCCACAGTGGTGATGCCAGCATTCTTAGGAGGGTAGGAGGCTCAGCGAGGGAGGGGGTGCCAAGCCCCAGCATAAGCAGAGTGGGGATCGGGGCATCCCCCTTATGCCCCACAGGGAAGCCGTACTTGGAGACGTAGATGCCGAGGCCAAACTCCCTGCCGCCACGGATGTTGAAGCCTAGGCAGTAGTCATCGGAGGTGGTGTAGAGGTGGACGATGCGCCGCAGCCCGTCCTCAGAGCCGCTCTCTGATGGCGTTGAGCCGCTTTTCTCCACCACCAGACGCCTGTTCACCACGTCCACCCTGGAGCATGGCCACAGTGTTGGGGGGAGGCTCAGGGGTCCAGCTCTCACCCTCCAGTGGGATGGAGACACTGGTGTTACCCAGTGGATGAGAGGGATGGGGATGGGGGATGCTGAGGATAAGGATGAGGCTTGCAACCACCCTGCCTGCTCAAGACCTTCCTGCCCCACCCTGTGCCCCACCTTGGGCTCTCCCCATCTTCACTGGGGACCTCCGATGCCCCCTCCTACCCTGGAGGTCCCCCAGCATCCCCATCCAAGCCTCCCCACCATGCTCTCCATGGAGCTGGGCTCTGGGATGCAGGCACGGGGAACACCCAGCTCACCATGCTGTCTTCTCTTTGGAGAACTTGATGCCTGGCACGCGGCCCATCCGTCGAACCACCATGCGGAGGCGGTTGTTGCCGGTGAGGACCTTGACAGCACTGCTCATGGTGATGTTCTCCAGGCTCACGCTGTTCACCTCCGTGATCTTGTCACCAACACACAGCCCAGCCTGCTCTGCAAGGGGCATGCAGCTCGGCTGGGCACCTGACCCAGCACGGATGCCTTTGCCTAGCACCCCATCTCCTTCATAAACATGTCCCCAGCCTGACCCGAACCCCATAGGAACAGAGGTGAGGATACCCAACAATTGCACTGTGTCAGACACAGAGGGTTGTCACCTCCCTGTGGCTTAGAGATGGCCTGGCTGAAGCTCAGACCCATCAGCACAGGACTGCCAACTCCCATCCCCAGCCCTTCCCATGAGCAGCCTGAAAATGCTATGGCCAGGAAGGGTGGCGTCACCACTGCAGCAGGGTGACACTGGGAGTTTCCTGAGAGGGTCTTGCTGGCACACGCCTGACCCCACCAGTATCCCTCATCCCATCCCACTTACCAGCAGCGCTGCCCTCCTCCACTTTGCTGACGAAGATGCCCAGCCCATGCTCAGAGCCACCACGGACGCTGAAGCCCAGCTTGCCGTCCACGCTCTTCTCCACCGTGATGGCGTTGATGATGTCGCTCTCATTGCTGCTGGCTGTGGGGATGGGACATGTCACTCAGGCTGAGTGCAGGCAACAGGCAGGAGATGTCTCTCTTGCTGAGGATGTCCCCAGTCCCAGGACAACTCTCCCTGCTCCCAGACCCGGGGAACCTGGGCCGAGGTGGGACATCCCACACACCTTCAATAGGGGTGTTGATGAGGATGACACGGCCCATGGGGGAGGCGGTGCGGGCGCTGCGGGTGGTCCCGTTGAGCAGGCGGTTCTGCTTGCTGAGGAGGTAGCGGGGGGCCAGGCTGGCCTCGCTGCTGGAGCTCCGTGACCGGCTGCCCGACGTCATCCCCGCGTCCCAGACCTGGGCCATGGTGGCGCTGGGCACCCCAGCGTCCTGGCGTCCGG